ATGTGAGGATTAGACCAATCAGTACATGTGAAACACTTTAGACAGTGCATAGCATATAGTAACCAGCTGATGCTACTCTCTGCTGTTTTTCTCTGCTCTTACTATCTTCCTAAACATCACAGCAAAGCAAAGGAAATCTCACAAACACCGACCACAACAATAATGACTTCCTGAATGGAACAATTAGATGCTTAATTCCATAGGTTTTAGCAGAAATCATTTAGGTCTAAAAACCCCTAACACTATTTCAACACAGCAGGTTAACTCTTCTGAAATATGAAAAATAGGCTACTAGAAACCCATATAGATATATGAATTCATTTGTTATCACTGAACACAGTTTTAAGTAGTCGGTGATGTTTTTTTCTTCATGAGCAATTGGAAATTTCTACAAATTACCAAAGCAGTTATAGAAGTATTAATTATGAAAGTTACCTGCTTTCCTTTGTGTATCTTTAAAAAATGAGTTTGGATATTAAAGGATATTAGTCATTTTTACAGGAATGCTTTTTGTCCAGTGTCAAACTTTACCTCTTTTCATAGACATTAAGTAACTCACATGAATTAGCATTAAATATCAAAACAAACTGAAATACTGGAAATAAATAATCTCATGGGAAATTAACTTGGTTCACTGAGGCTATTTTGGCAATGTGGATCAAAAGTAACTAGCACCATTTTAAGGAGTGCTTTTAATTTGAAAAGAACTGACCTAGAAAATAAAGTATGTATAAGCATTGTTCTATAATTTCCTGAGCCTTTGAATAAAAGGATATTGATGCCTGTATGGACATTTTATTATTCTGAATATTATTCATTTATCATCAGGCTTCCCAGTTCTTATAAAACAGCCTTCTCTATGCAACACTCTACTTTGCAGGCTGGGATAAATGTGAATGGTTTGGCTTTTTATCCCAAAAAGTTATAGAGAGCTCATAATTGAATTTCACTTTGACCTTCTCAACTGTACAAGTCTTCTTTGACTATTAACTTTATATGATGTCCTCCATGAATATACTAATAACATGAAAGCATGCGTAACTTAGAAAATAATCTTAATATACCAGTGAAAATCTAAGTCTTGCTCAATATGTAGAAATTGCTTTTCAGTTTATCCTTATACTCCACTTTAGACCAAGCCCTAACTTCTCTGCCCAAACTTCTAGAAATATCTAACTTGTTTCCTTGCTTCACTTCCTCTTCTGTCCTCCTCCTGCCCACCAGCACTCATTCCTTTTCCTATACTAGTGGGACAGTCTTTTAAATTTTCAAATAAGGTTATATTATTCCACAATTTCACCCTTTCTGCTATGGATTGGATGTTTGTATCTGTCTCGCCAACTTCATATGGTGAAGCCCTAATCCCCAATGCTTTAGTTTTTGGTGAGGCCTTTGATAGGTAATTAGGTCATGAGGGTGAAGACCCTATGAATGGGATTCGTGTTGTTATAAAAAGAGACCCAAGAGAGATGATCTCTCTGCCAGGTGAGCACACGGAGAGAAGGCAGCCATCTGCAAATAAGGAAGAGGATGCACAACAGAAACTGAATTGGAGGGTACCTTGACCTTGGATTTTTCAGCTCCCAGGACTGTGAGATGTAAATTTTTCTTGTTTAAGCTACCTAGTCCATGGTAATTTGTTATAGCAGTCCAAGCTGATCAAGACACTCCCCAAAGACATTGCATGGCTCTTAAATAAAATCTAATCTCACAGTCACAAG